AATGAATGAGCGGTCCCCATAAGGATATGTTTACCCTACATGTGTGTGTGTGTGTGTGTGTGTGTGTGTGTATTTGGCATTTGCATGTATGCATTCCTTAGGTAGTATTAACACCAAAAAGTCCCCTCCAGTACTGTGACAATGACCAGGGAAGCATGATATGGGATAAAGAATGCCATTCAAAATGCAGTTACTTTGTGCAGTATGAGTCTTGACTTTACCCTGTATTTTTAAAGAAACATAAGACAATCAATGTGGCATGCTGAATCTGCTTTCCTTCATGGTCAAACAGTGTTTGCCATGCAATCAGAAATCCAGAAGATGTTTTACTGCATTTTGAATAAATGTACTGTTTTGGAGCAGTATTTTTCAGTAGTGAGATACAGGCAGTTCAGTATACATGTTCCATTGTTTACTTAAGTGGTGATTTATCATGTATTTGTGCCTTACGTCCTTGATATTCCATGATGAAGATGACAATGATGACGATGACTTGGAACACGTAGCCTTTAAAAAGTCACTAGATCAGTCAGGTTGTGTAAAGACTGTCAGTACTTTGTACTTCATACAGTATATTCTCATGCTTCCCAATCTTCCAGGAGGTTGAAGATGCAAGAAAAAAATACAAAGACCTGCAGGACAAAATAAAAGCAATAGGTGGAGGTACTGAAGGACTGGATAATATAAGACAGAGGACTGAGGACATCAAGAGGCAAGCTGAAGATCTGCTGAACAAGGCCAACAAGGGCATGGAAGATCTGCAAGGTATGTTACCATTACTGTACCATCCTTAATATCCTACTGACCTAGAAAGCTTCCAGATTTAAATAAAAAATGTAATAATCTGGGCCTTTTAGATTTTTTACCAAAAATAGGTCTGGGTGGGGCCGTGAAGTAAAACCATAGTTATATGGATAATCGTTAATTGGAGGTATATCCATGGACTGAGAGATTTACCTGACTTTGAATCTTTGCTATCAGCTCCTAAGGGACAAAATCCAGTGGACAACTGCCAGCCATTCAGAATGTGTGTGTTAATGGGGACGTGGGGGAATTTAACAGCCACATGTGCATCAACATCTCCTCATGGTCAAAAGCCTCCTACAAACAGGAGCTTTCTGACCTCTTTCTCCAAATGGTTCTGCTGTGACTTCTTTTTGTAACTTTCAGAACTTGAGGACACATTTCAGAATAATGAGAAGGTGATGCAGGCTCAGAAAGATGAGCTGGAAGAGTTGGAGAAGAACATTACCCTTATCATGGAGGACATACGGGAGAAAGTCAAGTATTACAGCACATGCTTGAAGTAGCACATTGCCACACCATTACAGACACCTCACACAGGGGACCATGGGAAGTTCTGATGACCGTAAATGTAGTGAAATGGTTTCACTGTCTACACGCACCCATCCCCTTCTTAACTCTCTTTTTGGAAATCAACAAGAAACCTTGTTGTATTTCTCTTGTATGTATATGAACCATGTGGGCACAAATATCACTAATCACCATGACACTGTTCAACAAATACTGCTCTCCATAGAAGCTTGGGATATGAATCCTCTGTAACTGTGGCCATCTCAGCTCTATGCATCATATTGAGACTTTGGCAATGTCCTGGAGTTACTGGAAATGTAAAAGTTCTGTGCCCCAACTGGTAAATTTGTCATGTTTGTGAAGAGCAATGTAATATTATTCAGGAACCACTTTAATTACCTGACTCTGTATTGATTGAATATATTATATTGTTCTCTATTGATTTCAAACATAAGCAATAAATATGCATTTAATATAATTTTATAATATTTTATATTGTCTTGTATGCTTTATTGTATCATACATTTTTTATTATTGTTTGGCCAAAACCTGTGGCCTGTACGACTTCATGTTTGTTCACTTACATTTTGCCCAGACTACCTTAAATCCGACAAGTTACCCCAATAAGCCAGTAACCCTGCTTCATAGTATAGGCCCCTGGTTTAACAACTGGTGTATTTGTACCTAAAACAATTGTGAAAGGATTCTAAATGCATAATTACCACAAGGGGGACACAGAGAACTGAAATAGTTTATTGTTAATCAGATACAAAACAGCAAATACAGTATTTCTTTAAATATAGATCCCCCCAAAAACAATGTAGTTACTAGTTAAACTTTGTGGAATAGAATAGAGATACTTTATTTGACCCTATGGGGAAATTCTCTTTTTGCCTACCACATTTCCTTCTCCATCAGACACACAGGCACATATACAGGTGTGAGCAAGCTTGAGGGTCACAGCACTGGGTCAGCCAGTGTAGAGCGATCAGGGGTTAAGGGCCTTGCTAAGGGGCCCAATAGCAGGATCCCTCTGCCGGCCCTGGAATTTAAACTGGCAACCTTCCAATTATGGGCATGGCCCCATTCCGCTGAACCACTCCACGCCACCTATATGTTATACACCAAGATACAGAGGGATTGTTGTATTGTTTTTAGGAAGCTATCCTTTAGGTAGCATGCTTTCTCTTCAGTAGATTTTGCCAAGCAAGGTGCCCCCACACGATAGATTTTGGGCCCCTATAAAATGCAGGGCCCCCTGAATCTGCTGGGTCTCCATGCCCTTCCGACACCCCTTGATGGATCCAGTCAATGATGTTGGCAGAAAGAAGCATTGTCTGTGTAAAATGTAGTTACATTTGTTTTTCACGCCAGTATATTATTTTGCAAACAATTGCCTGTTATTGTCAATGATGAATTGCAAAGAAGACTGACTTTCAGAAAAATCTTTTTTTACCATTATAAAGTGGAAAATTAACTGAAGTGATGTTTAACTAAGTAATACTTCTCAGTCTACTGATCTGTTCAACTTCACCTGTTGCTGTAGTTGGGGGTGGGGTGGGGTGGGGTGGGGGGGGTACTGCGTTCACTGAAGCCATCAAAGGCTCCCTTTTGAATTTGAGAGTTCGCATTCCTGTTCACATACGCGCGTTCAACAGAGTAATCTCAAAAACCTGTTACGGAACTTTTATCGTTTAAAAACAAAACACCCAAAAATGCGAAAAGCATATTTTCCAGGTGGAGGATTGGTTTCAATTAGGTGAAATAAAAAAGTTAATTTCTTCCAGTTTACTTTTCACGCTTGGTGTTATGTAGATATTTACATTTGTACTAGTCTGTATGAAACTTTGAGTTACACTTCTAGAGAGCGAAAGACTACTGACAAGCTTAACATAATTTATTTTCTGTTAAAACAAGGTGTACTTTTTTGTAGTTCCCTATCCGTACAGTTATCCTCCTATGCTGGGATCATCTGTCCGCAGGAGGTTCAGTCCTCCACACAGTGGGCTCCGCTGCGCAGTTTCCATGTTGCAAGTACAGCACTCTGTAGCCGAACAGCTTCTCAGAGTCCGACCTGCTTCAAATAGCACAGTGGTCTCTAATCGTACCGTTTCAAACGAAAGTATTAGTTTCGTAGGGCACTGTGGATAAGTTATAAAGAAGAACAGGAGCACACAGCAGTACAGGCAAGTCTTTCCCAAAACTATATTCGTTTCATCAGAACATAAATTGAAATTAAATATTTTATACGTACTTCGAAACATTATTTTTATGTTCCCGTGTTCGCCGTTTAAACATCAATATTTAATGCGTTTTTTGTGTTGAAGTAAAGATGAAGAGAGTGAATCAGCTAGGCGAAGGTTATATCTGATTGAGTGTTTTAGGATACTCAGGTCCTCTATAGTTCATACGGTCAATTGATGTGGAGTTGCAGGTTAAACTGGAGTGAAAGAGCTGATGAACTTTGGGACATGCACCGGCTGCTCGTAACACTGGCGCTTGGTAAGTAACGCATTTACGGGTAACCGATGAACGTATCTGTCGAGTGTTGAATGTCACTCAGATCTTCGAGAAAACATTTTTTTCTTGTGCAGGTGTTTCTATATAAATAATTCCACAATAATACTTTTAATGTCTGACACTTTACAGAATTTTTTAATACTTGTTTTCGGAGATGCATCTGCCTGGCACTTGAGGAAAGTAGGATTGTTCTATATCTTTTAATTGAAAGTTACATTGTTTATTTGAGTGCGTCCGCTTTTCCTGTAAAAAAAAGTGGCTTACATTAGGGTAACTGCGCCTTATGAGTACCTAGCGCTTTTAGATGGGAAAAGCGTTCTGTTCCTAGAAGTTACAAGTTTCAACATGATTTTTTTATTTAAATCATACATTGCCAAAAAAGTTAATAGTTTTATCATAATAATGGATACGTTGTCGTACAAAATGATTTTGTACGAATGTATATTTTAAATTTAGCGTTGTCACTCTTTTTAATTGATTTAATACGTTTCATGTAACACGTTTCACTATAGCGGATGCATTTATGTATCCTATTAAATACCCGAGTCACCGCGGCATTTTGCTGCACTCTGAAAACGTGAAGACGGTAAGACTGGAGACTGGGGCGGGCCTCTTCTGTGCCATACAATCTGGGAGAAGGTGGGCTTGGAAGGGCGCCACCCTGTCCTTATCCATGCACAGCTTTCTGTTTATCGCTCTTCTAAAAACGAACCTTTCTGCAACATGAATAGCAGCTTTGCCCGGAGACCTGTAGCCTCCTGGGGCTTCCCAGTTTAGCACTCTGGCCGTGAAGTGATGGTGAATGAGGGGGATTTCACAGACTACACAGATGTGAAAATGTAGTCCGTTAATGTATTATTCTCCACAGCTGATTGCCTCTTACTTTTCATATAACCTACATGTATTGTGTGGAGGTTTTGCGCACGTGACATATCACTCCTGTAAAGGCAGGAGAAGGCAATTCACGAGAGAAGTCATGTTAGGCTTCGATGACTACACTTCCGTTATTTTCTCCTTCTGCATTTACCTGCTGTCTTGCTAGAAGTCTGCGACTCAAGCTTGCTTCATGAAGCGCAGCAGCATGACTGTGTGAGCTATATGGGGGGAATGTTTGAGCCCCCCGCCCCAATGTAGAGATTTCATACTCTGGAAGCGTGATTTCGATGGACCTTTAACCACACTGCACCTCTCAGTACTTTTCTAAGGTGTATTTCGCTCACCCAAAAAAAAAGAATAATTTAGTAAAGTGCTAAAGCTTTCATATTCAAGCATATATATCAGTTTTGATTTATTAAGAATAATACCTCATTATCATAGTTTTATTCCTTGCAAAGTAGTCCATGTCTGAATCAGCTTACTTGCTTATAAAGTATAAAGTAAACACTCCTAATTACCTGATCAATTACTTTATTAATGCAGTTAGAAGAATATAATATGAAAACACCATTGACTTTGAGGTTAACATGCTTTTTATTTATTGAGAAATTGCAGTTCATTAAGAAAAGACAGCCTGACTGACGTTTCCAGAAAAGAGGGATTGCCACAGGGACTAAGGAGCTCATTTAGGTGTTTTTTTATATATATAAAAATGTCTGGCCTGAGAGGCGGTGGGTTTGTCCTCCTTCAGGGAGGACCGGTGATGGAACGAGTGGAGGCCATATATAGCGTTCCCCAAATCCTGCCTGTCTGCTGACACAGGCTGTTTTTTTACATCCCCATTTCAATTTATTTCTGTCCCACTGAAGTTGAGCCTGTTCTGCCTGAAGCTGTTGTTACCCGGTGGGTAAATCGGGATCCTTCGACCCAGGAGTGGCTGCGAGCCGGACCACTGACGCTGTTTCCGAACATTCAAACAAACGAATGGCCCTGAAGTGACTTTAAATCCTGCGCAATTTGCTGCATTCTGATCTGCTTAGAGAACCTGCGGCCCGTATCAGGAAGCAGAATTTCTTGCTTAGTAAGATAATTTGTCAGATTTAAGGTAGCCTGAGCTAAAGCGAACAAAGATAAAGTCCATTTAAACTGTGGTTTGAATCCAATAAGCTATCTAGCGAACCGACAAATCGTGCTGCATGATACAGGCCCCTGGTCTTCAAACAGAACTCTCTCACCGGCTTGAGCTCCTGTGGCTCCTGGACCTGTCGTGGTTTGTCTTTGCCTGGTGTGCTGAGGTGGTCGGCTACAAGGATGCATGCTTTTGTGTTACCAAATAGCTACAGTGAATCTATTTTTTTTTCTTTCGTTAATTCAGGGAAGAGAAAATAACATCAAGGCGGAATTTACTTTACATAAATCTCCATCTAAATAATGGCTAAGTAACAGGGATGTGGCTGCAAAGCCATTCATGAAGGAAGGCCTTATCGCTCCAGTTGTTTTTTTTCCTCTCTCTCCTTTTAATCTTAATGTGCTTATAAATCAGCATTTGCCATGACTTTTATCAAAAAGCAGGGGTTGGTTGCCGCTAAGCTCTCCGTCTCTCAGAATAGGTGAAGGACAGGTGGAAGTCAGTGGGCTTATGATGTTTTTGTTAGGGTGACCAGATAATCCATGTCAGGGAGGACACTCTGAGCTAGGACAGGAATTGTAAATTACCATTTCAATTAAACGGACCTGGATTTCACTTGAGCACTGAGTTCTTGCTGTGTGCTGATTGGTCAGTCTCCTATAATCATGCATGTGTCACTAATGTTAATGTGAAACAGCTGGATGAGTCTTTCAGTCAAGGAAATAAACCAGT